ACTTAAATAACCGTTGCTTAGACGTCGTTTCCTTCCGAACCTTAATACCACATTTTCAACTTGATACTGGTGTTTATTCAGAAACTTGGAAAATTACCAAAGTTTATCATATTCTCAAAAAAGGTTCGTAGCTGAAAATGACAGACCAATTTTTCGGAAATATTGAAGATTATATTAAACAAATTTATCTTTGTTCGTATTCGAAATAAACTCTTCGCAACAACATAGTTTTGGTTAGGCAGGCATTTCTGTAGCTCATGTACTATTTTAATATTATTTGACAGTTAAATTAGGTCCAATAGTGACTATGGCTCCGTGTTATGGTCTTCAATATATAACTGCCTATATAACTGCCACACTCAGTACATTGAGAGGGCAAATCGGATAGGAGAAAAGGTTACTGGAGTATCTAATGTTCAGGGAGGAAGGTTCCTATCCTGAGAGAGGAGTTGATGATGATTTTCGACTGAGAAGATTCGCTGTACTGCCTCTGAACTTACGCAGAAACATTCACTTTCTAGCATTTCTCCACAAGTTAGTTCATTACGGAAGTGAGACTTCAATCAACTATTAATTACAATCCCAATCTTTAATTCCGGAAAAAAAGTTTAAAATTGAGGCTCTGCAGTTTTTTAGAGAAAAAAATACTTTTCTTGACTCGTTTGGCTTTAGAGCTGGCATGAGCTCCGAAAATGCAATACAGGGTGTTTCTGAGTTTGGAAATAAAAATCTTAACGACGGGTATAAAACAATTGGAATTTTCATAGACTTGGCCAGTGGTTTCGATACTGTTAACCACTCACTCACACTTGTGTAATTTATGTGTTAGGGGAATAGCGCATGATATATTAAAATCATATTTAAAAATACAAGAGGTAAAAATAAATGGTGAATTGAGTAAAAAGTGGACACTGGAGTGCCTCAGGGCACTGTCCTTGGTTCTGTGCAATTCTTTGTCTACCTGAATGACCTGGACGTATTACCTACTAATGACAATTTGTGTATATGCTTTGCTCATAACAGGGTTATATTAACCAAGGCTAAATCATCATGGAGAGGATTTTATTGGTGCTCAGAACAATATTTATCCATTGTTTGGTTATGGATGGACCAAAATCGCTTAACATTAAATGATAATAAAACACTCCCCTTATAAGCTTTATATGAAGAACGTCTATAAAAGGATAACAAATAACTGTAGTTATATTACAGATAAAATTAGTTTTCTATAGAAAAGCCGCTTATAATGTTTCCTGTCTTTATCCTTACATCACTTCAAGAGTTGTTTTCCTATTTTAAGCATAAAATAAATCAGAAAAATTAATAAATTTGGAAGTAAAAAAATGTAAATCTGTATGTTACTAAGAAAACTTATGAACGTTTATGTTACATTGATTTCACTTTTAATATATTTTTAATATACTGCTATCCACCAGACTTAGATAACTGTATAATTCAATTGATTTATATTTGATTTTACTATGAAAAAAAAACCTCACTTGGTATGGACATCACCAAAAAATGGAACGGAGTAGATGGATTTTTCTTTTTTTTTTTTCAAAAAATTATTGTATGTTCTCTCTATTTCAAAGTTAATGGTAATTCTATTTTCCATATTTTTGTTAACGTAAGTAGGTTTACCGCTAGGAAACCTTTTTAGAACTACCTATGGGGTTGCAGGCTATTCGCACACCTTGGGATATTTAACGTTCTTGCTCGTAAAGTTTTATGGGAATCTGCGGCAATTCGGGAAGCGATTATCAAAGGCAAACTTTATACTCGGTCGCTATCCGCTGATAATCTACTTATCTTCCCGATGTAATGCTGCAATTTGGCGAGGCTGTTGCGCATATCCACTCCGTCAACGTTCATTAAGGTGACTGGTTATCCGGCGGTTTTGGTTTTGATGTAAAACTGCCAGTTACCCTAATTGGATTAATTTGGAGTGGCGGAAAGGTTCCATTACAGTTGCGGTTTTAAGGTATGAAACCTTGAGGGGCGATAGATATTTTACACGGATAGACATGCTTATCGATAAACCGCCATGTTTTATGCTTTCATAAATAAAATAAATCATCGTATAATTACTGAAGTGAAGTGTGTAAGTGGTATCAGTCAAGTAGATATACTACGTACCTTCGCAAATTGTCCAAACAAATAGTTACTTTTAATCCTACAAAGCCCTAGAAGGGCCACGACATGAAAATCGATATCCAATGTTGAATTTTTCAAAGAAATTTCCACAAGCTACTGTAATACTTTTTAAAAAACTTCTGGATTCATCCTGCGTCGGTTGCTGTTGAATCGAACTTGCGAATCGAATCGACGTTCCGCCAATCATCCTGTTGGCTTGTTCAGAGCTTGACTAAAAAAGTCTGCCACCCCTCATGACTCTAACATTTCTCGCTTCTAGGATTCACGAACCAGGATTATTACTTTGACCTATTGCCAACACCCTTGGTTCTCCAACATATTATCTAGCAAAACACCTGGCTTGTATATTGAAACTGATTCTTAAACTGACTTTATTAAACAATTAATTAATTAATTAATTAATTAAGATATTCTAGTTAGTTTCGAAGCAGTAGTAAAGTCCCTGTTTCCGAAACTCTCAACATTATTTCAGATATATTAAAATCCAAGAATCTGGAACCAAACCTTCTCATCTTAATTGAAAAATGCTTTCCAGGAACATTTTTTTTGAATAATGGTTAAATTTTTGTACAAACTTCGGGATCGGCATTATCACCAGTCAACGCGGTTACGAAGCCTTTGAGATGACAGTCCTCGACACCTTCGATCTAAAACCAAAATTAGGGAAACGCTACGTTGATGATACTTTTGTTATTTGGCCTCAAGAATCCCTACGAGATTTTCTTAGCTATTTGAACTCTATGTATTCTAACATACGTTTTACCATTGAATTAGAAACTAATAATAATCTCCCATTCCTAGAGACTCTAACATTGCACCATTCTGTTTACAGAAAACCTCCACATGCAGACCGACACCTTAATGCATTGTCACATCACCATGCGGCCCAAAAATCATCGGTTATCAACACTATTGGTTTTACAGGGCTCTAGAAGTACCTCAACCCAGAAACCTAAAATCTGCTCTTCTCCAATAATTTCCGCATCAGAAAATACACTTCACCAAAGACAATGAGTCCGAAAGCAACCCCACACTTGTCACTATCGTCCTTCCTTATATTCAAAACAAATACTAAGCACATATCAAAAGTTCTTAGGAAATATAACGTCAAAACCAGAATTACCACTTGTTCAAAAATCTCTCAATATCTTCGATCTGGACAGAATACCGTCTGAGATACCAGGACTTTGTAGCATTCCATACATATGAGGGAAAAATACAGTGGAGAGACGGGTCGAAAAACATCAACCAGATTCAAAAAACATCAACCATCACGAAATCGGACATCAAATCTTATTTAGTAAAACTAAAATTCTTACATGTTATCAGTTCTTCTACCAGCGAAAAATCTGAGAATATATAGAAATCTATAAGCAAGCAGACAATTTTAACCGCAACTCAGGTCTTCTTTTTATTAATATATGAAGCAGTCATCCGAGACAATGCCCATGCCCCTCGTCTAGCTCCGCCCCCTCAAACAATGCGAGGCAGTTTCGAAGCTTTTCGGAAATAAAAGTACATGCTAACAAGATTTCATCTTCGTTTCTACCTAATTAAAACTTTACTTAAATATCTTAAAATTTCGTGTTTCAAATCGATATTCTAAGGTAAAATTTGAATTTTAGTGTCATTGCTATCGAAGGTATAAAATGTTTGAAAATGTTTTATTTTCAAAAGATTGACAAATCAATATTCTTATACCACAATTTTTTTTGTAACGCGAGGCTTGCCTTTGGCAACTTTCTGCGCTCTCCTCAAAATACAGCAGAATATGTAATTGTTTTTCTTCAGTAAGGACAGTTCTCCGTTTCGTCCTGGTGTTTCTTATGACTGAACCATTTTGTAGGCACGCTCTACTAAACTCTGTTTAGTGGGTAATCTGCTTGCTGGATGTAACGGCTGGTACTCCCAAAGAGCCAAACCTAAACTTTTGCCACTTTTAATAGCTATTTACATAGATTACTTCAGGTCCCTCTCAATCAAGAAGATCACGACAAGGAATTAAATATAATTAAACAAATTGCATTGAACAACGGTTACGAAAACAATTTAATTGACTCATTATATAACAAGGCCATCAATCTAGTCTTTCCCAAACAATACTCTAATAAAACAAACAAAAATTTTAACACATTAACTTATTTTGGACAACCAAGTAAAATAATAGCTAAAAACCTTAGATGGCTAAATCGGAATATTGCTTTTAAATGTAATAGGACATTAGGATCTGAAATTAAAAATAATAAAACGAAAATACATAAGTTATGTAAGTCGGGAGTATACAAATTAACATGTGAATCTTGTCCAAAAATGTACATAGGTCAGACAGGCAGTATTTTCAAGAAACGGATTCAAGAACACAAAAGTTCGTTCTTGAATTCTGAAAATGACTCTAATCATAGTAATCATTTAATAGAAACAGGACATTTGTTCAATAAAGATGTTAAAATATTACATAGTCAAGGCAAAAGCAAAAAACCTAACTTATTAGAAACAATAGAAATTAGTAAACTGAAATATACAAGTTTGCTACTAAACGATCAAACCGACTTAAATAATTCTCCCCTCTTAAACCCTTAGATAAAGATTCTGCCTACTGTATGGATAGTCTATAATCAACCCTGTGATAGTTAGTTTAGGGATTCTTTCTGAAGAACGTACAGTGTACCGAGACAATTGTCCAAGCTATAAACATGTGTGTGGTAATCGTAAAGCAAGTATTTGTTTTTATTAAATTACGTATGTAATGGATTATCATCAAGTAACAGTCAACTCAATCAAATTTTGAGAACTTTTGAAAAAAAAAATATATCTAATGAAATTTATAATACTTTTAGCTCACTCACTTCGGCGGCGATATAGGCTGGTATGACGCTTAGCAGCAGCTGCTCTTGCTGTCCTTTCTCGCATTCTAGCTTTACTCTGGATTCGATGCAGGTCCTGGTACCGACAAAGGTATGCCTATGAGCTTCTTCGGTCAGATGTCGATAGTACAGGCCAGTCATACTCGCTGTTACCAACATCACTGTTTCTGGTACCAACTGAAACCAAATGGTAGAATTAAAAGTTGAGTTACTATTTTATGACTTTTTCTCAATGTCAAACATGAAAAGATGGAAAACAAAGACCTAACTATAATTTATAGATCTTGGGTTGCGTTATATAATTCTTGTTCTGCAAGTCAGTCATGTCCAGAAGTCATTTATATCCATTATTGAAAAAAAACAACCTTAATTTCATTATCTTTATAAACGAAATAAAGTGCCAAACGCAAAAATCAAGAAAAATAAAAGTAATAAAAAAATGTTCAAACAAAACAATTTGATTTAGTATGCGGACTGTAAGTTAATATTATAAAGTTTCAAGCTAAGTTTAACTAACTGATTGTGGCTAAGTTTGGATTGTCAAGGTAGAAGAAGTTTAATCATAATATTTTTTTTCGTAAGTGGCCTCTTTCTATGTAGCTTATGAATAATTTTAGATAGGACTAACTTTTAAATTGCGACATTTTTATTCCTAACGAACATGCTTTGTGGAGTAATAAGACTAGTTTATTTTTAGCTTTATTTATTAGGAATTCAAAACAAGCGGATATAAATGTCGAGATCCTCCAAATCTCTGCAATATCTCTTTAGGCCTTTGTTATATTGTAATACGAGAATATTAATGTGTGGGTAAACCAGCTGTGGTAAATATTTACTTTGCGGGTAAAGTAAACAAAAACGACCCCATGGAAAGCAGCGTATAAACCAGTGGCATGAATGTTATTAACGCAATTAAAATCGAATTGTGAATTTAAACGATTTAGAAACTCAAGTAGCGAGCTTTTTGCTTTGTGCCGCAAGTTAATTCGTCCACATATTCAAGATCGTCAACCTTACACGCCACGTCAGACGAACAAAAAGCTTTAGTGTTTGTTCGCATTTGATTCATGCCTTCTTAACCTAACGTCCCTACGCGACAAATTAATAATGAAAATTGAGCTTGGAGTGTAGAATGACAGCTAATTTTGTGTGTTTCATTGAATACCCACGTAGACTTCGTTGGTTATTTTAGTAACGGCTTTTCATGGACGTATCAAAAATAATTTTGTCAAAAATATGTAACATAGATTTTTTGAAAATCGTTCTTTTTAATTTTTCAAATTCACTGCTTAATGGTTCATCATAGCAGGTGTTTCATGCCAGAGATTCTCAAGGAAGAAGTAATTCGAGCCATCAGAATGTGTAAAGCGGGAAAGAGTGCTGGTCCAGATGATATACACATAGAAATAATAAAATTACTGGACGAAACAAACAGCAATTCTTGTGAAGCTTTTTAATAATATTTACAGAACAGGCATAATACCCGAAGGCTGGCTGAAATCCATGTTTATACCTATACCGAAGAAAACGAACGCGAAGAAATGCGACGAGTACAGACTAATAAGCTTGATGAGTCAATTAATTAAAATATTTCTAAAGATTGTTCATGCAAGAATATACAAGAAATGCGAGCAAGATATCAGCCAAACGCAATTCGGCTTCCGTGAAAACTTGGGAACCAGAGAAGCTTTATATAGCATGACAGTCCTTTTTCAGAAATGTAACGATCGACAACGGAAGATCTACGCTTGCTTCATAGATTATGAAAAGGCTTTTGATAGAGTGGAACATGTACAACTCATTAAAGTGCTAGAAAGAAAGGGATTAGACAAACAAGACATCCAGATTATCAAAAATTTGTACTGGCACCAACAAGCGTATGTTAGATTCGGTAACCTGGTAACGGACCTGGTGGACATCCAACGAGGGGTACGACAGGGATGTGTATTATCGCCCCTGTTATTCAACATGTACTCGGAAAGCATTTTCGCGGAGGCCCTGCAGGAGGAAACTGATGGTATTAAGATCAATGGACAGATCATTAACAATCTGCTACTAACAAAACTAAGTATAACGGGAGAAAGGCTTGGCCTCAAAATAAACGTTGGCAAGACCAAAGTAATGGTTATTAGCAAATCTCGAGAGCCTCCACCAAGGATATCAATAAATGGAAAGGACATCGGAGTGGTCGAAAACTTCAAATATATTGGAACTTGGATAAACTGCCACTTGGATCCTGAACCAGAAATAAGAGCCAGAATAGAAAACGCAAGGGGCACATTCAACAACATGAAACACCTGCTATGTGATCCTGCACTTAACTTTGAGCTGAGATATAGATTTGTAAGATGCTACATCCACTCTGTATTGCTGTACGGGTGCGAGGTTTGGACGCTAAAAGTAAACACCATAAACAAAATAGAAGCGTTCGAAATGTGGACCTTGCGAAGGCTCCTTGAAGTCCCATGGACAGCACGTGTAACCAACGAGGAAATATTAACAAGAACACAACAGGAGAGGGAACTGCTAACAATTGTCAAGAGAAGAAAAACGGAATACCTTGGCCACATAATGCGAAGCAGTAAATATACCCTACTTAAACTAATAATGGAAGGCGAGATTGAAGGACGACGGGGGATAGGGAGAAGAAAACATTCCTGGCTAAAGAACATTCGTGATTGGACTGGCCTGAATGCCCACACCCTGTTCCAGGTTGCTAAAGACCGAGCGGGATTTGCTGAGATTGTATCCAACCTTCACTAGTTGAGATGGTACCTTGAGAAGAAGAAGAATGATTCAAAATTGTAAAAAACTGTATTTCTGCTAAATAAATTCAAACGTAATTTTACTGGTTTACAATTTAAAGGCATCTAGCTTGGTGTGTAAGTAATATGAAGAAATCGATTGAAACAAACATTTGTAACAATTAATTGCAGTGATAATTCCTAGAACATGGTTGCTTAGTCAATTGAGGACGTTGTATAAACATTTTGCATGGTCGTACTTTACATTTGTTTAGTTTGTAATTGGATAACATAAACTCCTTTCTTAAAAACACTTTATTTCACCTGTAAACAGTTAACAACAAATTGGCCCAGAAAAAGTAAATACAATATTCTAGTAAAAATAAATATAGTAATTTGTTTATATAAGTTTACATTATATTTTTTCCTATAAAGTCTTTAAGGTTATGACGCATTTTCTTAGTAGTGCCCTTTAACATTGTGTGTGGTGTTTTATTAAAAACTTAAATGCGAGTCTTGTTTTTATTATCTTTGGGTGTGCATTTCTTAACTTTAACTTTAACACTATCCATTTCCAATCAATTTCACATTTGTTTTCATCAATTTGTTTTGTAATAGATAAATTAATATTGTTTGTTCTAGTATCTTGTGTAGATTTCTTCACTAGGTATATTAAAGTTCATTCCAAATACTACTTTAAGTGCTTTATTTTATAGCCTTTGAAATTTATTTAGCTGAACTATGCTTGTGTTTTTCCAGAATGTTAACAATTATCTAAGATGAGACTCTTTTATTGCACTTGGCATTAGTGCAGTTTTGTCCATTACAGTCTCAATCTCTTTATCCTAAGTTGGTTTTTCAGAGATAGTTAGCCCTAGGTATTTATATTAACACTCCTTTTTGAGTGCCGCTTCATTTAAGTTTATATTTAGGTTTTAGGCGCATTTCTTGTTTGTTTAAATGACATATAAACTGTTGTTTGTGCGTATTACTAGATCACTCAAGTTTAAAGTATATTTTTTTTGTAATCCCTTTTTTGCTTCGTTAGATCATCATTGAAGTGGATGTTTTTATTCTGTCCGACTAATCCACATTCTCTTATCTTTTTTAAACGCGGTAATTTTTTTTAATTTACTTTGTGTACCTTTGAACTTTACAAGTAATGGAGAATCTTTCATGGTACTTATTCGGTGGACCTCCAAAATATCATCCTAACTGATTTCCATCATTTTGCACTTTGGCGCTCTTCTTCCTAATGTGAGATCCCGGCGACTACTAGATTTCGGTCTCTTTTCTTTTGCTTTCTAGCTAGTTTTCATCTCTTCACGGCTTTATTTCAATCATTTTGTTTTGATCGGCAAAGGCATCAGATATATACGGATATCTTCAAATGCTTCACTTCCTCTTTGATAGTTCTTCGAAAAGCTTCAAAATTACCTTAAGCAAACGTTCAAGAACGCTTTCAATCTTAATTTCATTTTCTTTTTGTTTTTCAGCTTTTTCCTGTGCTACAAACTCACTTTCACTATGTGTGGTGCCACAATAAATATTGTTTTTTTTTTTATTTGCGACTTCGAGCTTTGGAAACCTGCCAAAGAATTATCACAGTCCACTGATGGTTCAACTTGTTTTTTGCAATTTTTGTAGTTTTTTCGCTTATTGAAAATGTTCCATCCGTATTACACATAACCTATATTTCATATAGCTTATAAAGAAAATAAAATATATAATCAAAATTTAAAGTGCGTCTCACGAGTCATACTATAGTATAAATAGACTATCAAATCAACCATAGCTTACTTAAATAATTGAAAAATATAGGCCGAGCCACTTTGGGCATTTCCGGGATTTCACTACATGGGTTGAGGAGTATTCGGATGTTTTCGGGGATATTACAGCACGCCTTGAATTTTGAAGTTTGACTTTTAATTTTTGACAGTTAATTAACCATTCGCACTTGTTGCACAATATACTAATAATTATGAATGTTATTAGAGATATATGCGAATACTTTGAAAAACAGGTCTTTATTACCGTGCCACGCCAAATAAGACTTTTATTGTGTGCTAATATGGAACTCAAGGGCAATCGGCAAATTACCCGTAGAATGGATTTCTAACAAAAAAGCGTGGATGACAACAAATTATGACAAGATGGCTGAATCAATTTGACAATGAACAACAAAATAGAAAAGTTGTTCTTTTCTTGGCTTATGCCACTTCGCATTACCCTTAGATCAAGGAATATTTCAGAATTTCGAATTGATTTATCGAAATTTTTTGTATTTTGAAATTGAAAAAAAGCATATATTTTGCCAGTGCCCTTGATTTGCCTATAGAGAGTCCTAACTATCGAAATTGTTCAGGAACTGCGCAATAATGACTAAGATAAAAACTCTGATGATAGTGATGTAGATGAATGTGAAACGCCAAAATCTAATTTACCTAGCATGGCCGAATAATCGTGAAATTTTTATGGATTTTTCTCAAATTTTACTTACATGCGAAGCCGAAATTTTTAAATCCAAGCTAAAAAATTTAACGCAAACAAAGATTGAAACACACCTTAAAAAAAGTTTTAAATATTTTTTTTCTACTTTAATCGAAATTTACACAGTTTCATTTCTTTTTAAAAATGTGTCCCCAAAAGTTAGCTTTCGTTTCCAGTAAAAATATTATCTTGCACTCACGTACGGGAATTGCAGTTGCTACAGGATGAAACAAAATAGTTTTAAATATTTTTTTTCAACTTTAATCGAAATTTACACACTTTCATTTCTGGATGAAAATGTGCCCACAAAGGTTGGCTTTCGTTTCCAGTAAAAATATTCTCTTGCACTCCCTTACTGGATTTGCTATAGGGTGAAATAAAAAGTTTTAAATATTTTTTCTAATTTTTATGGCGCTGCAACCGAATATTTTCTCTGGAAACGAAAGCTGGAGATCTATTTAATTTAAATCGGTTGCTTTCTAAACTGGTTTAGAAATCTCCGCCGCCACTGGTTGTTAGGCTCTTTCCATAATTTTGGCTGCCAACTTTTAATTGGCAACTTCACATCGGTGATTTTATTTATGAGATGCAAAAATAACGGCCACCTTCATATAACGGCTTCATTTTTTGGTATTGATAGGTTTTACTGTATATTCTTGCCTGTATAAGGTAAGCATCCTCCATTTGTAGTCTGTGTGCGATGGAATTTGCCAAATGCGCTACCGTCACTATCGTTGCCAAAGCCAGCGCCACCGATCTCGACAAGGGCAACATCGTGTGAATGGCCAGTAGCAACGCGAACAGCGACAACGGCGCATGTCTACCGGCTAGAAGAAGCATTGCCGTGGCAGAAACCGCAGTAATAACTAGCGATGACATAAGGGCCCACGCTTCCGATTCTAGGATTACGGGGAACTGCGACGCCATGAGTATCGCTATCAGAGTGAAGGTCACGGCCGACATCACTGTCACCGGAAGGATGCTTTTGTGCAGATCCTGGAAACAAAGCATCCAAATAATTTTAATTGATTGATTTAATGGTAGTAGTAATCTCAGCCTGTCTCATTAAAGCGAACTAATTTGTTTAATAACATATATTTCTAACTAATGGGACTGTTGGCGCTATTTATGCTATGATGATGGCACTGCTACCCGTAGACAAACATATCGGGAAATAAGTCTTTTATTGTGATACTTAAAACATTCCTCAATTAACAGATTTTGTGGAGAGTAAAAATGTATTATTTAAATTGTAATGCGATATTTCAATAGGGGAAGCTCGGCGAAGCCCTATTACAAGCAAGGCACACAATTTAAATTTCGTCTACTGTCTAGTATAGAAACCAATAATGCAAAGGGCAATTTGGCATTAAACTAGCAAAATTAAAAGCCCTCCCTATCAAATTAGGTGCCAATTAAATATGGCAGAAAGCCAAATATCCATTAATCGTGGTCTTACAGTTATAAGAATGGCTAGTCCGGAAATTGAAGGCATATTACTGCAATTTTCCTAGAGTGGGCTAGGTAGGTTTAAAGCTTAATTAAAGGAAACATGTAAGCTTTTCATTTGCTGTTGTCAATAACAATTCAAGTAGCAATATAAGTAAAATTACCAATAAATCTTACAACGCATGTAAGGTATTTATATACTATTAAATTTTACTTACAAAAAGGCTTTTTTTCGCCAGAGGTCCATTGGATTGTAAATAGACGACCCACTTCTTTAAATTGCCCACACCTGACACCAACATCCCTATCCCACCATACAATTGATGGCCCGTAATTTTTGCCCAACTTTAATTAAATTGCGTCAAAATGTGGTTTGAAGTTATATCGATTGAACCTACATGTGGATTCGTATAGGACTCATCTATCATATAACTTAATAACTCAAGATCTTGTCTTGTGGTTGGGTTAACGTTAAAGTAATCTAAAGTGGTGTTTACTCGTTCTTATGTCAGGTTTTTTGATAGTTTGTTGTTTAATAAAGAAAGCTTCTAAAAAAACAAATATATATTGTCATTTAGACAGCAAATGTATATTTAAATAATTAACGAACTGGTTCGTAGACATTAAATATAATTTTTTTATACTTTTATACACAAAAGATTATTGTATCCAAAAATTATAATTAATAATTAAAGTTTGACATGACAAAAAATAATACCTGAAAGCAGATCAAATAAGGATTAAAAACCAATATTTTTTTCTATCCTAATCTGGTCCAACTAACAATCCTATATAAAATCTTTCTACCCGACTGACTGGCAATACAATGTTTCCAAAATATCGACAAATTTGACACCGAAGTTCCTTTAATCCCATAATACTTAATAATGATAGATAAAACAAATTACCAATTTTAAATAATTTTATTTTACTTTGTAAAGAACTTCCGTTGTCCATTTAACAACCTAATAACTGTAGGAAATAAAATTTTGCATAAATTCGGTTGGTCCAATTTAAATTACGTCTTAATTGGAGAAGTTTTTGGCGTGCAAATTGTATCCCTTTCCCTTTTGTTAAGTTACTTCAGCGCAGGTTCGGGCGAAACAAGATATTTGCTTTTGACGAAACTTTTCTCAACGCCTCCTTATTATTTTTTATTATATTTATTTTTTATCATTTCCGTCTCTTTAAAATTGGCATCAATGCTGAATTTATAAATGCTTAGATGTTTTGAGAATTAGGCTTTAGCAACGGTCCAAATCGATGTATATGTTGTTTTTGTTTAAATTGGAAAGTATAAATTTTTATGAAGTTATAATTAAAGGGTCCTTTTGGCAACTATATTGGATTTTTTTATAATTATTAACTGGGTACGTTAATTTATCATCGAATAGAATAATAATTATGAATTCTCGTGGTGTTGCGGGGGCCATTGAACTACTATTTGTGACAGGAAATATGACATTTTTAAGTTGATTTTTTTTACATTAAGCCGTTGGTTGGTTAGTTTTAACATCTTCCAGACTTTTCAATAAACAAAAAAAAGCGGAATATATATACCCAGAATGAGTTCATGAGTTGTTTGATTACCCTATTGCATTGCGGTTATAAGTGTTAACTTTCGATTTTAAGCCAACTTTATAGTAGTTTAAAACATCATTGATTCTGAACTTTTGTTAGATAATTTGCACAACATTCCCGGACTTAATGGAAATAATTAAAAATACTAGTTAAATTATCTAAATCTATACTGTCACCTTTAAAGTAATCCCCATCCACTGCAAGATATTTATGCCATTGCTTAATTCAATCCTCGCAACATATTTTATATTCGGTTTTCGATATGTCCATCAGTGCTTCCTCTCGGTTGATGAAACGGTTCCCCGTAGTGGTTTTTTGACTCGATTAAACAGAAAGGACTCAAATCAAGTGAATCCGGAGGCTGTTGGTATGCGTGTGTGTGCGTGTTTGTGTGTTTTTGGGCTAATTGCTTGCAATAACGTCTCATAAAGACCAAATAATCCTCTTTGTTTACTGTCTGACCTTCTTCTGCATCATTAGACCCGATTTTTACGTAAAATTTAGTACAAGTTCGTTATTGCAAATTTAAATCTATTCAACATAGAGACTTTTGCAAATGTTAAGCTATGACGCTAGGATTTCGAAGCAATGCCAACATCAGATGTACCAACTTAACAAAAAAACGAACTAAAATAAGAACAATGAGTGCGCCACGAAATTTTTTATCAAGATGTTACTTAATGAATGAACAAAGAACCAGCATTTAACTATTACATTGATCAAGTTGTGGATTCAGCTTACAAGATGTTCGGTTGTATTGTTGGCTGTAGTCTACTTTAAATATATTGTATACGGCTTGAATATGCCTCCCTTATCTGGTGTCCTTGTCTTATTGATCATATTGAAGCTGCTGAGAGGTGATTTCCAAAGCAACTAACCCTTAAGTTTGATGGAGCTGAGATGAATGGAAAATCGGAACTTTTAAAGTGTCATAATTATCTACTTACAAAATTCTTAATAATTTAATTTACTGCCCAAATTTAAGCTTTAGAGTAAATATTTGTTCCAAGAGATAATTCTGTAATAACGTGTAGGTTTCCGTTATACAATGTTTGTTGAGTCCAATTCTGTATTAAATGAAGATTTACTTTACTGTAAACTAAAACCTATTAAATTTCATTTTTATTGTAGCATATCAGCATTTTAAATCTGATTTTTATAATAGCATATCAGGTGATGTTAGTTAGTGATGATGTTGATGAAGTTAATGACTATTATTTTATTAAGTTTCTAGTTTATTCTGTAAGTGGGTTTTATCTGAACAATATTGTATAAAATAAATAAATACATACATGTTTGAAAATTTGTTAAATGTTAAAAACTTAAAAAAATGAAATCGGCCAGGGGAAAAAATTAGTTTTTGAGGTTCTCCAATGGCCATCAGGGGCCGCAATTGCCATCTCGAATTTATTAATTCTATTAATTATGTTTAGCGCCAACACTGTTTTGAAGCTAACACAAATTTAAATCCTTTTTATTAAATGCCTTTTGCTCTATCTCTAAAAGGAAAGTGGTGGGGGATGCTCCAACATTTCCGGAAATAAATGTCAATAATTTATAATAATTGAAAATAGTCACATTGTAAATTTATCTAGTCTTTGAGTTTTCTTACTGTGATTGTGTTTATTGCCTTAAAAATTTCTTATTCGACTAAAGAAGCATACATGTTGATGCTAATGTGATCAAAACATATGTGTGGCTGAGCGAGTACAAATTATACCAATAGACATTTTAGTGGTTTAAGTAAATGTTTGTGAGAGACAGGACGGGCTCATCCTAATCCGTTCATTAATGTTCTTACCTACGCAGAACTTAATCCCCACTTAAGCGTAAGAAGAATAAGTTTGGAATTGGATATTAGTAAAACATCGGTACACCGAATTCTAAAAGACCACTATCTACACTCTTATCATAATGAATTACATTAGGTTCTTTAAGATGAAACTACTTTTTCGAGCAATGGAGGAGTCAAATTTGCATAATATGCATTATTGGATGCGTGAAGTGAATAATCAAAATCGGCGGAGTGCGAATGTCTGGTATGGTATTTTGGGAGATTGAATTATGGGACCATTTTTCTTTAATGGTAAAGTTAATGGTTGGTTGGTTAACAGTTGCAGAATTTATTACAAAAGTTCCTTCACAAACGAGAAGAGATATGTGACTGCAACACGATGGATGTTCAGCACACTTCCCACAAAGTTAGGAATTTTATAGGCAGGACTGATCCCAACCGTTGAATAGGAAGAGGCAGTTTATTACCGTGGCATGCCAGATCTCTAGACCTTACTGTCCCAGAATTTTCCCTTGGGGGTAGAATAAAAGATATTGATTATCAAACCTCTGAAACTATTTTTGATCGTATTCTGCTGTAACCAAGCATTCAAGAGCTGATGTTAGTGAGGAGTGTCCCATTATAAATTATTAAATGGATACCTTCGTTAATATGGATCCTACGATGAAATTTAAATGACCAAAGTTGAAGTGTTATTCCTAAATATTCCGTTTCTTCAATCACAAATATGAAATAAAAATTTTAAGATTAACATAAATTTAAACTTTTTATTTTAATTGAATACCTGTATTTGAATGTGTCAATCAATTGCACTTTTTCTGCAGATTTCAGATATATGTATATGCGTTGCTAGGGTTAGCTTTGACAGATTTTGAAATATCGGATATATTGGATGTAAGGAAGTCAATAACTATTATTTCAAAAATGAAATTAGCCATGAAGACTAAATTAGTTTCTTTTTTTTTACATATAGCGAAAGAGTCTACTCGTTGTATGATTTTTTTATTGTGTAATATTAATAATTATTATGATATTTTCAATTAAATATATTTTCATTTATTAACAACATATATATTACTTACTTACAACAGAAAAAAACCAATATTACCTACTTTAGTATTATCAAAAAATGTCTTATTAAAACATCGTCCGTTAAACTGATAAAACGTTC